TCAATTGACACAGTGGCTGCAATGATTGGCTCAAGTATAGCAACAATTATGAAGATGATGCAGCATTAAGCAGTTTTCATTCTGTTGTGCATAGGATCGTTATGAGTCACAACAGAAATGTGAATGTTAGATGTGCTTCTGTGAGTCCTTTAAGTTAAATTATGAACGTGTTGATGTTGTTGCATAATATGGAAAGGCAATCTTGTAAATTGGCAAAGAACATTACCAAACTTTATTCAGATGCCTTGTGGAAAGTAGAACATTCAAGTGGTAAATTCAGACTTTTTTTTTTTTTTTTTTAAACTTCTAAGCAAAATCTTGAAGTGGTAGCCTGATTTCTTTTTGCTTCTTATAGTAAAATGTGGGAATAAATAATTAAGGAAAAAACTGTAAAAAATCTACCAGAACTTTTAAGATTTGGAGAATTCTTAGACATTGCATGTTGTAAAAATTAAGAAGGCATGCCCTGGAGAGGACACCAAGAATGTGACTAGACTAGAGATTAGACATGTGAGTTATGGATTCAATCAATATCTCAGAAGAAAATCTGCTAGAATTTGTTGAAGAAACCAGAAACAGGATGGACAGAAGGAACACTATTGGATTCCTGGAATTTTCTAGGGAGAATACAGGCTTATGGAGCTACTCAGCTCTGAACATCTATTGTCCTTCAATTTAAAAAAAAAAGAAAAGAAAAAAAAAAAAATGTTGATCCTGGGAGAGGTACAGAGGCCAAAGGACCACCAGCATGGGTCTAGGGGTCTAGGCCATTGCTTCTTAACTTTCACAGAGTGAGACCATGCTTAGGTTTATATGTGTAGGATCACCACCTAAGTTTCAGGTATTGAGGACACTATTAGGGTAAGTCAGGATGGGACTACCACCAGAATCTAGAGGCTGAGGCCACTGCCAAGAATCTGGATGGCAGGGCTATGAGCTGAGATCTGAAGAGTGGCTCCACCACCAGCTTTGGCCAAAATATCACAATATTTTTTTAAAGCATTCAGATATAATGAAATTTATCCTACTGCTTTTGTACTTGCTTAGTACCTGCAACCCCTCTTCTCCAATTTCTCTTTGGAACACCATTGTACTTTGGAACCAGAAAACCTGTATTTTAGGCTTTACATATCCACAGATGGGAAGGAATTTTTCCTGAAAATGGACCATAACCTGCGTGTCACATATCTTATTTAGATGATGCAAAAGAGTAGACTTTGGACTTAACGTAGATGCTAGAATAGATTAAGACTTCTGGAGATGCTAGGATAATGTAAATACATTTTGGATGTGAATATGATGTGAATTTGAGTTGGGAAGCAGAGAACAGAGTATTATGCATTGAACTATGTCTCCCAAAAATATATGTTGAAATCCTAACCCCTGTACAAATGATTATGAGTCATGTCTTATCTTAAAATTTTAATTTAACTGAAATATGGTGTTTACTTTGTTTGTTTAAACTACTCTTAATCAACTAGCAAGCATTATGTACATAGCACTCCTTAATGATGAAATAATTTTATTTCAGAACCCATTCAAAATAATAATAACAGTAAAAATAACTTTCACTTGTTGAAAGCATATTTATCCAATATGTTGCATCTATTTTTTATTTATAAAACTAAGAGAACTTTGTAGCATATAAAAATTACAAAATATATAAAATAATATTTTCCAAAAAATAAGTGTAAAGAATCAGCTTTTCTGTTTACTGATTCGTGCTGGAAAACACTAGCTATTCCTCAGTGAATCATACAACAGAAATGGTGATGCAAGTGCAGCCAGGGAACAATAATTACAGTCATCACTGGGAGTCATTTCAAAGATTACATATAATATAGGAAGCCATTCAGAATTTTGCTGTAGAAAATTAGTACTCAGTGAAGTTCATTGACAGGAATGTAAATAAATAAATAAGGTAGACAGTAAACTCACCTAAGACAGACAACAGAGCTACATTATCTCTGAAATGCTGAACAAAAAATTATTTGTCCTTGAAAAGTAGGGTTCTGTTAAGTAGTTACACCTGATAGAGGAACTTCAAAGATTTCTTTTTTCCAGATATTATATTTTGGCTATATCAAACAGATAGCTACTCCAAGACTTTCTTATAATGTACTTAGAACAGTGGTTTGAAAAATGCAAAAATATTCTTTGTAAGTAAGCTGGCCTGGAATTGGATTCGGCTAAAACATGTCATGTTCTTCATGCTGGTAAAGCAAATAACAATCTCTTCACTCCCAAGGAAAATGCTGAGGTGTTATCCTCTTCTATATTTTCCTTCCTGGTTGTGTGTACATTCTAATCATTTCATGCCTTTCAAAGACCATCTCTTCCATAAAGCCTCAGTGGCCACCTCATAGGGATAGGTTACTGCCTTCATCTGCCTTCTTACATTATATTGAACCATACTTATCCAAAGTTGTTTTGTACTGTTGCTATTTTGAGCAATTTTGGCAATTTTTATAATTATTATTATATATGATAAAGTATAGTATGTTGTTTATTACATAGTATTGTTTATTATATAATTATTATTTTTATTATCTCTTACATTCCTCATGGTCAGAATTGTGTTGCATAGTTAAAATTTATCAATATCTGTATTCTTCCAGAATATAGCGTATTGTTGGAACAGTATTTGGAATTAAGTATATTTTTCTTCTATGAATTAATATATAAATACATTTTACCTGTTTAAGCTTTCAAACTAAGCAGTGTTAGATTTCTTCTATAGACATATTGATAACTACTAATATATTCCTTCCTTTTCTATTAAAAAATAGGCAAGACTTATACCTAATAAACTGCCTCCTTCCCTGCTTAAAACACACACACACCACATGCACACGCACACACAATGACTAAGCTATTTGCCTATAATGCATGAAATGCCAGATATAGGTCAGAGTAAACTTTAGCTACTGGCACACAATTAGTCAGAATAACCAGTTAACCAAAATGTTTTTGGAATCAGAATTTAAGAGAGACAAATCAAGAGAAATAAAATGAAACACTATATAACATAATTTAGAAACATCTCAGTGACATCCTGAACTAAGTAATTTTTGACTCAAACTCCTACAACTATTCATCTTCAGGCAGGCAAAAGAATAAATTTGCAGAATGATGACTCTGAAGCACTCTCTCACATTATGAAATATCTTGTTATCTTTTTACAGTGTGTTTATTGAAGTAAGAAGATGGTATAATTTATTTTATTGACATTTGTGAACATTAGAGTTGGATTAAATGGGTTTTCTTCTTAAAATTCACTAGAATTTTCTTTAAACCAGTGATTATTAACCTCTTTTTAATGATTATATGTTGTTTCATATAATCTTGGAGAATTTGGATACTTTCCCTTGAAAAGTACACATATTGACATATGTGTCATATGGGCACATCTTTCTTCTCTTTTCTTTTCTTTTCTTTTTTTTTTTCCCTATCATTTCAGCATGGTCAGAGAATCCTTGATAACACTACTTGTATTTTTCAGGGTGTCTAAGAATTCCAATTCTAGAAAGTAGCAAATAATGCAAATCAGCTTCATTTTTAAAATTTAGAGGTAGACTCTAATGTTTCCTTCAAGTTAAGCACAAAATGGAAGCAAACATATTTCCACCATTTTGTGCTAAGAACAGATTTAAAAGTTGTCTTAATTTATTCTCTTTGTACACCAAGGTCTGGGCTTATGCTATTTCTGTGAGGAATGTGAATTATAAGATCACAGGGAAGGTAAATTTCTCACTTCGAGGAATGTCTGCATTTAGTTGAGGAAATAATTTTAAAAAGCAAAGTTAAATTCATAATATAATGAGACACAAGATGACATGTACTTACATAAGATGCTGATATAAGAAATGCTCCTTAGAAAACATTTTAATGTCATAATAAGTCCCATAGCTGAATTTTGATAATAAAAGTTCTGTAAAGTTTATTATTTAACCTTGAAATCAAAGTGGAAACCATTTGGAATAAAGTACCTCATTTATTGCCTAAATGTCTTAAGAAAAAGACAAAAGAATGGATATCAGCAAAGGCTAAAGAGATTGATTTGAGATCCAAAATAAATCATAAAGCCATAATTAGTGGGACTGAGTAAGGAAGATGCATCATTCTTCACTCACTGCTGTCGAGTTAGATCTGACTCATAGCAACTCCTCCTTGGGCATCATTACTTGTTGTTGTTGTTGTTGTTGTTTGCCGTCGAGTCGGCTCCGACTCATAGCGACCCCTCCTTGGGTTTCCAAGGCAGTATCACTACGGAAGTAGGATTGCCCAACCTTCCTTCCGAGGAGTGGCTGGTGGGTTTGAACCACCAGCCTTCTGGTTAGCAGTCAAGTGCCTTAGCCACTATGCTACCAGAGCTCCTAATTTATTGCCAATTGAAATATAATAACCAGTTGAATTTAGGAAACACTGAAAACAAAATGTGAAACCAGAAAAGCGATGGCTAAATTATAGAAAATAAAGTAGTTATATAACAAGATAGACAAGAAAACAAAACAGAAAAAGCCATAGAATATTTTATAGAGTCCTCTCATTTGAAAGGCTACAAAGAAAGTTGTTATAGCTTTCTTATGTGTTCAAGTCTATATTATGCTGAGATTATCCTTGATAAATTCTCCTTGATAAATTCTATATTTGCTAAATGCCAGCAGGCAGTCAATTTCTCCCTAGTTTTCTTCTTCAATGACTGCAAAGCTATTTGATGAACAAGTAAACACTTTAATAAATAAAAATCTATTTTAATATTAGTTCAAACAGAATAAAAATGAAAATGCATTAGAGAGGCTTGGACTAATAACTACTCATATATATAAATGCAGGAATTATTTACTTGTTGAAATTCTTAATCTTATAGTTCCTTTCCACTAGTATATATATAAGTGAAAGTCAAGTTTCCATGTGATCAATATTCCAGACTTATGACAGATTTATGTGTCTGCATGTGTTTTTATTTATAAAAAAATTGCCTGAAATATATATCTTACCTCATTCTGGAGATCTCTGATCATTTTGCTCTTTCTTTCCATTTCTGTCTTTAAAAAATTAATCTGAAAATGAATAGAAGATTATGTAGGTACATTTCAAATTAATTTCCATGACTTTCATAAATTTATTTTCCATGATTTTGTGGGGTATTAGAAAACAACTACCTATTTATCTCTAAATATTGAAAAAGAACAAAAACTAAAATTTCATTAACCAAACCATTCATGACTCAATTCATTCATCTATTTACTGATAATATAAAAATATCCCTTTCTCATGTAATAAAATATTCTTCCCCCCTTTACTGAAAAGCTTTACATATTGTCACTCTGATTCTCTTACCTGGTTCCATAATTTAAAAATGTGTTTCTTTTAATACCTCGATTCTAAGAGCTTTGGAATCACCTTCTCTGAAATACCAGGGAATTTTGACCTATGTCTAGCTTTGAAAACACATGCATAGTGATTTTCTTTACCACAAAAGTAGAGAAATGTATAAACACTGTACCAGGAACTGTGGTGTCTCCTGCATACGATATTGTTAGGATCTATAGAGTTATATCAGTTATTCCAGCAATATTTTCATAAAGATAAACAAGAAACATTTACCAGTCCTGAGTATTTAGACAAAAAGTCAGTATAGCATAGTAGTTAAGATTTAGGACTTTGCAGTCACAGAGTACTTACTATGATAAAAACTAACTGTATGAAAATGGATAAAGCATTTAATTTTTTCAATTTTTGGGTTTGAAGATATTAGTGATATGTATACAGTGCTAATACCAAAGATTTATCACCATTGGTAGTGGAAATTTTTTTAATGAATTAACATTCATCTCCTTCTGAGTACACCCACTCCTTACTTATGTTCCAGAGAACAGGTCTTGTGCAAAAATCAGCATTAAGCAAAAATGGAAGATAACTAAATCATTACACAGCTGCCAAATTACATCATTACATAACTTCCAAATTACATTATGACATAACTGCCAAACCACTGAAAATCATGGCCTAGGCAAGTTGACACATAACCTTAACCATCAAAGGCAGGGGTACTCTTGCCTAGCACTTCAGCCTTTCCTACTGCCAGATATACTTCATTAATATGCAAAATAGTTGGAGACTATATTTTTTTACTATTGTCATAATTGTGAAATGCCAGATTGCAAGGCATTTGATATACTTATTATTTTTCCTCTACTTATCTGTGTTCACTTCATTTTAAACAATTGTTGATCGTGTTCTACAGTGATTCAGCAACATTGGGAGAAAAAAGATGACAATTGGCATACATATGACTGAACACTTCCTGGAGTTCTAAATCTATACAAAATTCATGAGAGGTACAGTATCTCAGGCAAAGAGTAATTGCAAGACATCTTTTGCAGAAATATTTCTACAAAAATCAGTATTCAAAAAAATATTGTAAAGAGTCTAACTATACATGAGTGGAGGATTAGGATACATCCCCATAATGGAATATTACAAAACTATTAGAATATATATCGGAAGGAAGATGGGGCAATCTACTTCCATAGTGATACTGCCTCATATACCCAAGGAGGGGTTGCTATAAGTCGGGTCTGTCTCGACAGCACACAACAACAAAAATATTAGAAAAATAAGATTGACTGATGAATACTCACGTGAAAAAATATAAAATATATTTTTATTGAGAAAAGAGTAGAGAACAATGTAACAGTTATAAAAGCCATTATCATAGCTTTTAGGAAAGAGCATTCACATATCAACACACACACACTCCACACCTACACACTCATGTGCAATTTCTTACTTCAGTGCTTTAGAACTACTGGTATGTCGTGTATGTGCATACTATTGCCAGACCAGGCTATACTTCCTACTAATTAAAGGAGAATCTCTGGGGTGGTATGTAGACATCAGGAATTTATTTTTTAGCTCCTCAAGTGATTCTAGTATGAGGCCAAGTTTACAAACAGGTATATTAGACAAATGCTTTCTCAAATTTTAAAAAGCATTTGAATCACCTCTGAATACAGTGTGTGAATAATGTAGATTCTAATTCAATAGATCTGGGATGTGAGGGTTCTTACATGTTCCAGGTGATGTATGTGGGACAGTTGGAAATTTGACAAATTGAGTAGAAAGGGCTTAGCCCAGCACTATCCAAAATAAATTTAATGTGAGCCATATATGCAGTTATAAATTTTCCAGTAGCCAAATTGAAAAACAAAAACTAACAGAAGCAAACAAAATACAAGCAGACAAAAAGCATAGATGTAATCAAATTTCAGAACAATTTTATTTTCAGGAGCTCTGGTAATATAGTACTTAAGGCACTTGACTGCTAATCAGAAGGCTGGCGGTTCAAACCCACCAGCCACTCCTTGGAAGAAGGTTGAGCAATTTACTTCCGTTGTGCCTCAGAAACCCAAGGAGGGGTCACTATGATTCAGGTCTGACTAGACAGCACATAACAACAACAACAGCAACATTTAAGTTAACATATTAAAAATATCATTTAATCATTGATATAATTTATATTCCAAATAGAGAGTGTATTAAAGCCCCACCCACTTATTTTTCCTCCCCTCTCCCCAGAAGTTAACATTATCCTGAAGTTAATACTTTTTGTCCTGCATGTGTTTTTGTACATTATGTCTATTGTCTGTGTTCATATTAACATTGTTTTAGGCTAAAAGTTGTATAAATTGTGTGCTGTAAAAAATCTTTTGTCACTTAAAAAAAAAGAAAAACCTCAACTTTATGCTTATGGAAAGTATTAATTTTTAATATAAAAACATTTACTTTATGTAACTGGTTAATTTGGTTATAGTAGTGATCCCACCTGGGTTACAAATCATGGAAAAACTAAGCCTACTGTAACAAGTTGACCTTTAAATACAGTGGATGAATGTTTATTTCCTCTTATATGATAATACAGATTTATGTGGCACAGGCTTGAGGTTCAGAAGTGAGTGACTCAGACCAGCTTCCAGATGTGAGTGGCCCTCACCTGGGGTATATCTCCACCATCTGAAAGCATTCTATTCATTCCTTAGCATTATTTCCATCCACTGGATATGGAGAGGATGAACAGGGTGTGATAGATTGAATTGTGTCTACAAAAAAATATGTATTTTAAAGTCTTACCCCTGTATCTTTGGATTTTCTCATTTCAGAGTAAGTTTTTCTTTGTTACTGTAATGAGACCATATCAATGTAGGGTGTATCTTAAACCAATCATTTTTGAGATATAAAAGACTACATCACACACAGAAGCAAGCACAGATGAGGGGAATATATATGTTATTTAGAGATCTCCAAGGAATGACAAGAAGAACACTAGAGAAGCTGTGACCAGAATTTTCCCCTTTGAGCCCACAGAAAGACAGCCCATCCCTAAAGTGAGCACCCTGAATTTGGACTTATATGGCCGACTCGACGGCAAACAACAACAACAACAACAACAACAAGGCAGTGAGAAAATAAATTTTTGTTTGTTAAAACCACCCACTTGTGGTATTTCTGTTACAGCAGCATTAAGAAACTGAGGCACAGAATAAAGAATAAAATACAACCTATGAATTCTGATGCTATAATGTAATCTGGACTCATGAATTCTGATGCTATAATGTAATCTAGACTCATAAATTCTGATGTTATAATGTAATCTGGGTTTGTTGGATTTTCTATGGGAGATTTGGGCTAAGACACCCAGAAAAACTTGGCTAGCTAGTACTAATGGCTGCTAAAGGGTGACATAGGGAAATGTTAAGGGTCTGGAAAGTCAAGTGCTGTGCAAATAATTAATAGGAAGAGAAACTCAGTTATGAGAGGGACAGAAAGAAGCAGGCATGTGGAAAGTTAGCTGAGTCATTTAATTAGTGGACCACAAGAATTTATGTTGTTGTTATTGTTGTTATGTGCCCTTGAGTCAGATCCGATTCATAGCGACCCCTCCTTCGGTTTCTGAGGCAGTATCACTATGGAAGCAGATTGCCCCATCTTCCTTCCGAGGAGTTCCTGGTGGGTTTGAACTGCCAGGCTTCTGGTTAGCAGTCCAGTGCCTTAGGCACTATCTTACCAGAAGTTATAGGGACCATACATCCCTGTTTTTGAGGTCTTCAGGAGCTGTTATAATTTCAAAACCACCTAAAAGCCCCATCACACTTGACATTTAGGTTTGGTTTTCCATAAATTTCCATTAGAAGTCTTATAACACTTGTTAGCATTCCCATCTTTCTGGCTTGTATTGGTAACGCAAACCCTAAGCAAATAATTTTTGGTAGTGAAACTACTTTGAAAACAGAAGCAGCAGCCTGAAAACTGTCATGTCCATTTCTTTAGCCATATTAATTTTCAAGACAAATTTGAACTATAAAAATAATTGCAACTCAAAAACTTTAGTCACATCCACTGTCTCCTGAGACAGATCAAGATTTTTAAGGGAAAAAAAAAAAAAAAGTATCATCAGGAAATACTTGACACTTATGTTTTGTTTTGATTTTAAAGGGAAAGCAGCTTTCCTTTTATTACTATTTCCCTTAATGGTTTTAAAGAGCCCCAACCCATATTCTTGCAGCACTGGACCATGGGTGGGATATAGGCAGATGAGGCAGAGGACTTGGCTCTGGGCATGGGTTCTCAGACTTTGCTCAGCAGGCAAGATGGGGTAGGGGGTTAAGGATGTCAGGGCCTAGGCTGTTCCTGCTGCTGAATGTGTGGAACGCAGTGGCTGGGGCTGGAGTGACCCATACCCTCCACACTCACTTCCTATCACTCTGCCCCTGCCTCCATTCTCTCAGCGACCACTGCTGCCGAGGCCTGTTCCTCCAGCCTCTGTCAGAAGCTCCAGCAGTGGCAGCAGCAGCGATGAGATCAACTGGAAGCAGGCTCCCATAACATTTTCATAAGGTGTTCCCATACATCCGAATCACATAACGTCCTATTTCACAGAACATACCGTGAATGTTAAGCAACATATACCTGTATACAGGTTTTACATTCATTTCTACCCAAGAACTTAATTACAACTAGAATTTTTACATGGTACAAGTTTGTCTTTAATTTAGTTCAT